ATAATGCCAAAACAATGTTTTCTCCAACCACCTCGACTTGAAGTGAGTTGTTCTCATTATAACTGGTCACTGGAGTAATTAAATCTTTAGTATATCAATTAAATATGCTTATATATAGCCTCTAGTTTGGGCCTCAGGGTTGGCAACAGCCAAGAGCATCTCTCTTATGCAGTTTATTCAGTTGGCGATGGGCCTACTGAAATGTGATCAACACATGCTGCTGTATTATTTATATTTACATCCGTCTCTCTCTAAGAGGGCTGAAGGTTTGATTTGATGTATTTATCTTTCCTGATGTAGAGTACTCTGGGCTGTGTGCAAAAGGGACACACATACAATTTGTCAGAAGAGCAGGATTTTGGCAACTGATATTTATAGCTTGCTAATCTCAATGATTGCTCACTGCCGAGTGCTTTTCATGAGTTGCCTCTGAAAAGCCTTCTGAATTTTCAAATGGTTATAAGATTGTGGCAGGGCTGTGGAGTCCTTGGTGTTCTCTGAACTTGATCATTTGTGGACATTTTATTACCAGACCAGGTACTAGTGCTAAAAGGGAGTAGGGTTTGTTCTCTGTTTATATACATATATATGCTTGCCCTGCCAGTGTTCATGGGAGTGTTGTTTTCTACTGGGCAGTTCCTTGATTAGAGTACACGTAGCCCTGAACCATTGCGACAAGGGATGGGGTGGCTCAGTGGCTAAGATGCTGAGGTTGTTGATCAGAAAGGTTGGCAGTTTGGTGGTTCGAATCCCTAGTGCCATGTAACTGAGTGAGCTCCCATTACTTGTTCCAGCTACTGCCAACCTAGCAGTTCGAAAGCATGTAAAAATGCAAGTTGAAAAATAAGGACCACGGTAACAGTGTTCCGTGTGCTTTCAGCATTTAGTCATGCCGGCCCCATGACCATGGAGACGTCTTCGGACAGTGCTGGCTCTTTGGCTTTGAAATGAAGATGAGCACCACCCCCTAGTGTCAGGTATGACTAGCACATATGTGCAAGGGGAACCTTTACCTTTAGCCCTCGATTTATGACCATAGAAAGAAAGTAAAGAAAGCATCTGCAAGCAAACAACCAAAGCAAACTTAGAGGGCATCTAGGACTCCATGGTTCAGTCCTGAGCTACATACATTCTCATCTACAGATATTGTGACAGGAGTTAGAACAGGAAATCATTGGAAGCCACAATCAAATCTGAATTAACTACCTTTTCTCCTTCAGGAAATATTTTACATTTTTATTGACTTTTAGATCTTACTGCTTTCAAATACTTTCCTGATTCCTGCAATGTTTTGATGCAGTCATTTGTTTCATATATTTGTTTTCAATGAATTAATTGGCTGTGCATTGCTTTTTATTTACAATTTTAAAATCAATGACAAATCAATTAGTATAACCCAGTAGAGAAGCAGTACGGAAATTATTTGTCACTATTTGGGCATTGATTGGGAGCACTACATCACAAATTTTTATTTGGTGAAGGGATTTTTTCCCCCTTTCTTTTAAGAGAACAATTTTAGAGTTTATAATTCAAGTTTTGTGTGTACACTGCTTTAAATTGGTAGAAAACTATAATGTCAATTTTGGACAGTTGTTCCCTGAAATCAAATGAGTTTCCTGTGGAGCCCAAGAATGGAGCTGAACTTCTACAGGCTGAGTTAACTCACCTTTATTTTAGAAGACATTCTGATTTAAACTAAAATACAATTGGAGAGATTAGTAAAACATAGAATTATTAAGAAATCCCAAGATCTCCTGGGGAATCTCAGCAGAGTGACAGACAGATCATTCCTGAAAGGAATATTTCCCCACTTTCATTGAAAATATCATCCTTAGCTTTCAACATTTTCTTTTGCTTGTGTGTCACAGTTGAATGTCATAAAATACTGGCATATAAGATAAGAGGAAACTCATGGATGCTAATCTTGCTGTTGTGGAATAATAGAGATTTCATTAAGACTTGATAAGGGGAATCCAAACCAAATCCTTGGAGGCCACCATGTAATTACCTAGCTGCAACTTTCTTCCAGTGCACATTGCTCAGAATGTGAATTAAGCAACCGTGAGCACTGTTTTAAACCCACCTTGTTTTGTTTGTCTATGCATTCATTTAAAAAGGATGAAAATGGTAAGAAAATGACCTACCTTATATAGCGCAGAGGTCGAAGCAGATCCAACTGCATATGCAACACCAATAATTGAATCGCCATGGAAACCATCTGCATAGGCCATCATAACAATTCCAGTGATGGCCATTATTGCGGCAACTATCTGTGCAATCCAAAAGGAAAGACATGTAGAAAGAGTTTATTATCTGGAAAGAACCACGATAAGATGAGTGTTGCGCGTGAGAGACATTAAAATGACTTGCGGACATGGAATGGGAAGATAACACTACAACAGCCGTGCAGGTTATGTACCTCCCAGAGAGAGACTGTACAATAACCTTGTTCTCTTTTCTTGAAAATCAAAAGGATTATTTCGTAGATTACTTTAGACTGAAGCCCATTCAGGCAGAATTGCTTCAAGATCAGATTAGTTTGTTTCACAGGTTGACAGCCATAAAGCTAGCTTGGCCACTGTTGTGTAGTCAGAGAAATTATAGCTCTAGGGAGTAAGATTCAAAACACAAAACAGGCAGGTTCATTCATCAGCAAAATGCAATGGTGGAATAAACTTCAGCTTGTTTCTCGAGGTGAGTACAAGCAGATTGAAAAAAAGTATCAAATTCCAATGGTTCTACCCTGTTTCTCAGAAAATAAAACCTCCCTGGATAATAAGCCCAATCGGGCTTTTGAATGCATGCACTAAAGTAAGCCCTTCTCCAAAAATAAGCCCTCCCCTAAAATACTTAAAGGCATACGCAGCTGGTCCCCGCCATTTCCTGGGGGGGAAGGGCGGAACATGGACCACACGTCCCAGAAACAGAGACTGAACTTCCTGTCCTCTCTAAATCAGCTGATCCACAGGCCACGGGTTGAGGTTAAGGGGGCTCCTGCACCTCAAAAATAATAAGACCTCCCCAAAAATAAGGCCAAGCGCTTATTTCGGGGGTCAAAAGAAAATAAGACCCTGTCTTATTTTGGGGGAAACATGGTAGTGTTATGTTAAACGACTTCTCCCCAATCTGGTGCCTCCAAATATTTTGGGACAGTCTTTCTCAACCTTGGCAACTTTAGGATGTATGGATTTCAACTCCCAGAATTTCCCAGCCATTATTGTTGGCTGGGAAATTCTGGGAGTTCAAATCCACACATCTTAAAGTTGCTAAGGTTGAGAAACACTCCTAGAATTCTGAACATTATCTGTGTAGGCTGAGAATTCTGGGATTTGTCATCTGGAGAAATGTCCAGGTTGGGAAAGCCTGCATGAAACCACCATTTAATAGTATACGAGTGACCAAACTTCAGCTAATTGTGCCACTGGTGATATCACTACTTAAATGACGCAACATCTGCAAGCAAATAACCAAACTCAGAGAGCGTCAAGAACTCCACAGCCAATTCTGTTTCCTCAACTCAATGAGTTTATATCACGGAGCCATGGTGGCGCAGTGGTTAGAATGCAGCACTGCCAGGAGTTCAATCCTGACTGGCTCAAGGTTGACTCAGCTTTCCATCCTTCTGATGTAAAATGGTAAAATGAGGACTCCGATTGTTGGGGGCAATATGCTGACTCTGTAAACCACTGAGAGATGGCTGTAAAGCATTATGAAGCAGGATATAAGCCTTAGTGCTATTGCTTACATGCAGGGATCCTACAGCACACTGGAGGATGCTAAAATGAATTTGAGTAATTTGTACTGTATACAGTAGCTCAGTATGTGATGAGGATTGAGTTATAATTTTAGCATGTTATGTGATTGTTATATATAGCATATTTATGCGAACGAAGCAACTGTGTTCTATTAACCCAGTTTTACAATTCAATATATTCTGTGAATTCACTCAAAGAGTACTGACCAGTTGGTCAAGTTCAATATAATAGTGCTCAGCATCATTAATTCAAATGCTAACCCTCAATTAAACCCAGTAGTGAGGGCAATGATCTTTAAAACAAAGCTTGGATAAGTTACTGCAGAAAGCCGAAATGGCAGCCTGTCCCTACTTCCCTTTCCTGATTCAAGCTCTATCTGTCATCATTTTGTTTCTGGCATAAACCCACAAGGGGGGGGGGGGAAATCATAAGGAAGGTTTTTAAAAAAATCTCTAGAAAACCTCACTTGCCACCTTTATCCCCCCACCCTTCTCTCTCAAACACATATATTTTCTCCCAGCTTCTATTTTATAAAATTTTGCTGCATTCTGCCTGATATAATGCTTCTGTAATCTCAAAAGTAATACTTTAATACCCCAATCTGGTGTCAAACACTGATCATATCACCTAGGAAATGTTTGGGAATGAAGATATTAGAGCTGTTAGTGCTATTTACCTGCCTTTTATCTATCAAACCTATCAGGCACACTTAAATCATTTTTCAGCTTTACAAAAACCTTTGTATTCTGTACAATAGATCACATTTTGGAGATATTGAAGGATGTATGAAACAGCTTATGAATTGAGAAGCAAATATTATTTTCAGTCTTTAAAAGAAAGATCTAGCTTTAGATACTTGCACATTAGCACTAAAATAAGCTTTAAGAACTGCTATGCATTTTACCTCCCAGCACTAGTTATTAAAATTTATACATCGAATTAGAGTTTGTCTCTATTAATTAATTAACTGGAGGTTTTGTTGATTAATCCACGGATGAAACCAATTCAAGCTTGTCCAATTTACTTTTATCTTTAATGAACACTCCTATGAATTAGATGAAGGAGATACAGAAATGTAGGGTTTGCACTATGAACTGAAGGAATGTATTTCATACGTAGAAGGAGCATATTTTATTGAATTCTAATTTTAAAAAATGGTTCCACCACAAAACCGCGGACGACAAAATCACGGTCGACGAAAGCGCGCATTTGACGTCATCACAGCGCGACGAAAACATCGCACTGTGATCGAAAATGTAAAAATAAAGCGAAAACCTTACCCTAACCCCCCCAAACCTAACCCTAAACCTAACCCTAAACCTAACGCTAAACCTAACGCTAACCCTTAACCTAATGCTAAACGTAACCCTAACGCTCTAACCCTAACCCTAACCCTAACCCTTAACCTAACCCTAACCCTAAAGCTAACCCTTACCTTTATGTGAATCGGCTTGCTTTAATTTTATTTTTATTTCAATTTTTAATTTTTTTCGTCGCGCTGTGATGACGTCAAATGCGCGCTTTCGCCGATCGCGCTTTTGTGGACCGCGGTTTTGACTGGTCACGAAAAAAACAATGAAGCTGCTGGGATGAAAGCAGGACCTTTAAGTTTGACTCTCTTCTTCCACAACCAGATTTCCCTCATACAAAACATGGAATAGATTAAGTTAATAATCCAAACCACAGAGTGTCACATCTAAAGGGCAAGTGAGAAAAACGTAGCAAGTTCTTGAAAGCTGCTACATGTCTCAGGTGGGTTAAGAAATGGAACTAAAACAGTCAGAAATAACTCATTTCAGTGGAGCCCAACAAATTTAAACTGCTGTTTTCAATTTTAAAGAATCCTTGCTGCTACTGTCACCATCCTGGTAAATCATGTTCCATGAACCTTGAAGCACTTTGTGCCCTACAAATGCTTCAACTCTGAAGAATGCAAAGCATGTTACTTTCAATGTCAAGTTACAAGTTCTTGTGTAAGAATGTTGGCCTCAATGCTAGTTTATAACCCCCCACCTAGCTAGTTTCCGGAAGGAAATCCATCAAACAGATTGGCAGGTTTATTTGGGGAAGTCCTCTGAGCACAACCTGTGGGCACTTTCCTGAAAGTGGCAAATACTGCCCTGGGTTTGTAATTCATTGCGATGTGGGCTATACAAAGTGGTAGCATGGGAGGCATGGGTTGACTTCATATAGAAAAATTGCCTCTTCAGTTGCTTCTACATGTGAGGAAGTTGAGGCAACTTTCGCATTTTGAAAATGTGGGTGCATTTATTTATTGGCCTTATGAGCTGCCCCGATCACTAAAAAATGTAATAATGTGTGTTCATAATACTCCTTGGGGCTTTATGTGTTCATTTAATTGATATTTTTCACATACACCCCTAAGCACTTCCCCTTTTTTATATTTACTGTCTGCCCTAGTCTCTGCAGTTTTCTTGGCAAGATTATACGGAAGTGGTTTACCATTGCCTCCCTTGCTAGGACTGCGAGAAAGTATCTGGCCCCTCCCAGCTGGGTTTATGCGTAAGGTGAGGTTTGTAGCCCAGTAGCTACAATCTGTAGCCTTAACCACTATACCAAATTGTCTCTCTTGTCTGTCCCTAGTTGCCCAGAAATCAATTAATGGAAGTAGCATAGATACATTTATTCATTCATTCATTCATTCATTCATTTATATTCTGTTCACAAACAACTCAAAATGGCAAACCTATCCAACACACCTTCCTCCTCCTTTCCCAACCACCACACTGTGAAGTGAGTTGAGCTGACAGAGAGTGAGGTCTTTCATGGCTAAGGTAGGATTAAACTCATAGTCTCTTGCTTTCTAGCCTGATGCCTTATCCACTAGACTCTTGATGGCAAATCTATGGCACAGGTGGACATTTTCGGCCTTCCGGAGGGCCAAGGAGGCCGTTTTCGCCCTCCCCAGACTTCAGGAAAGTATAGAGAGGGTGAAAATGGCCCCATGGCCCAACCGGAAGTTTGGGAATGAATTTCCAGTTGGCCCGTTGGGCCTGTTTTTCACCCACCCCAGGCTCCGGACGCTTTCCCGAAGCTAGGGAGTGGAAAAAATGCTCCAATGGGCCAACTGGAAGTTCATTCTCAAACTACTGGTTGGGCTGTTGAGCCGTTTTTCACTCTCTCCAGACTCTGGAAGCTTTCCTGAAGCCTGGGGAGGGTGAAAAATGGCCCAACGGGCCAACCAGAAGTTCGTTCTGGAAAAACGATCTAGTAAAAAGAAAAGGCAACCAAAAGAGCAACATGCCAACAAAAGCAAATAAAACACCCCCAGGATCAAAACAAATTAAAGTTTAATTTCTGTGCATTGTTCAATGGACTGTTAAATTGGCCATGCCCACCCAGTCACATGACCTAGCCATGCCCACCCAGTCACATGAACACCTAGCCACACCCACCCAGCTGGTCGTGCCCCCCCTCCAACAGTCTGAGGGACCGTGAATTGGCCCCCTGTTTAAAAAGTTTGAGGATCACCATCTAGTGATTAAAGTACCAGGCTAGAAAACAGGAGATTAGAAGTTCTAGTTTCGCCTTAGGCATGAAAGCCAGCTGGGTGACTTTGAGTCAGTCACTCTCAGCCCAACCAACCTCATAGGACTGTTGTTGTGGGGAAAATAAGAGGAGAAAGAAATATTAGGTATGTTCATCACTTTTAGTTATTTATTTAAAAAATCTTTTTTAAAAATGTAACCTAGTTGAAATTCCAACTATTTCTCCAGATTGTGGTGAAGCCAGCTGCCTAAATTCTGTCGCACGGTAGTAGGAACAAGGATGGAGTTTGCAAACAAAGAAAAAAAATAAACTGCCATTCTTAATCACTTTCATTCAATTCTATGAAATTAAGTAAACAGACTGACATCTGGGATGCAAATGAAAGAGGGCAAAGCTTGCCTTGTCTCTGAGATTAGAAGCCAAGAGCTAATCTATTTCCCACCAGAACAGTATTGCAAATCCACTCTTTTCTTTGTTTCAGATAAGTGAATGGGATTGCTGCTCTTACGGGAAAAGTAAAATGCTATGTTTGGGAATGCAAGCTGAAAAGTAGTTTCTAAATTTGGAGCGTAATTAAAAATAATAAAATTAAGCACCGTTATTCGACATCCTCCTATTATATTGGCAAAGAATAAGAATATGAGATTATACGAGTCTTAATGTTTCCCCATAATTCTTCTATAATAATGTCTCCCACATGCATTCCAAAGCAAGACACTGCATGGAATTATGCATTAATTCTTAATGGATTAATTGCTTGTGGCTGTATTTCACTATCACCATCTGAGGGCAGCATTTAAGAGAACAGAAAATTGAGAAGCAGTCATATGAAAAGGTAACTCATAATGACGGTTTTTCTGGACATGAACTCAAGAAAATATTGTAGCCACTTCCAAATTCTTCATTGCCCGGAACCATTTCTTATAATTCCCTCCCATTTATAGTACTCACTGGACACTTAACCAAAAAATGGATAAACCCGACATGCGTTTTTGGGAGCATAGTACCCAGTTTCCCTGAAAATAAGACCTCCCCATATAATACGCTCAATCGGGCTTTTGAGTGCATGCGTTAAAATAAGCCCTCCGCTGAAAATAAGCCCTCCCCCAAAATATTGCAACACAGCAGCAGCCATGAGGTGACCACGCTCAACGCCTCCTGCACCTCAAAAATAATAAGATCTCCCTGCAGAGGTGGGTTCCTACCAGTTCGCACCAGTTCGGTAAAACCGGTTCGTCAAATCTACCGAACCGGTTAGAAGAGGTTCCACCAGTGGACCCAGAAAGCAGGCCACACCTACAGAAAAGGTTCCAAATTTTTTTGAAACCCACCACTGACACACAGACACACACATACACATTCACACAGAGAGAGAAAAACAAAGAGAAAGAAAGGAAGAAAGAAAGAAAGAAAAAAAGAAAGAAAGAAAGAAAAAGTGAGAGAGATGAAAGAAAAAAAGGAAAAGACAAAAGGAAGGAGAGAGAGAGAGAGAGAGAGAGAGAGAGAGAGAGAGAGAGAGAGAACACATGGCCGGCAAGCCACTCCCACCAGGTCACATGGCCAACAAGCCACTCCCACAAAGGAGGCCACGCCCACAGAGTAGGTTCAAAAAAAATTGAAACCCACCACTGCCTCCCTGAAAATAAGACCAAGTGCTTATTTTGGGGTCAAAAGAAAATAAGACCCTGTCTTATTTTTGGGGAAACACTGTAGTTGTCTTAGATCTTCAAAGTAAAGTTTGGGCAATGGAAACTATCATTAACAAAAGCTGTCTAGACCATTACCCTGACACCCATGAACCTGTCTTTCAGGACAATCCACGAGAGCAGGAAGACAAAGGCTTTGTTACAACAGAAGAGGGCCGAGACGTCTGTGGCAGTCAGCTTCTTCAGAGCCAGCAGGTATAGGTAGTTAGTCAAAGTCCACAAAATAGAAAAGGGAGCGGTTCTTTTAAGAAAGAGTTTCAGCGTCAGACCATCTTCGCCAAAGATCCGACTACATTCCCTAGAGACATAAAAAAAAGATTCCTCTTTTAGGGGATACAAATCTCCTCTCAATTTTGCCATTTCACAGCATGATAACTTTAATGTTTTAAGCTTGTTCTTCAGCCATGCTTCAGAGTGGCTGGCCAATTATTTTAAATCATGATGACCTGCTCACATGTTTTAATAGAATGGTGCTCTGGGGTAGCCTCTTCTACATCAGAACTTACAATAGAAAGCCTCTCAAATGGCGACCGGGGCAGCCTCATGCTTGCCAACCTGCTCTGCACCACCTCTACGCAAATCCCCCCCCCCAATCTGTAGTGAAAAGGCTAGTGAAAAGGTGTTGATGGCCAGGTGGTCTAGTGGTCAAAGCAACAGGCGAGAGAGGGTGGGAGAGGGTGAGTTCTAGTCCTGCCTTAGAAATAAAAGCCAGCTGGGTGAAATTGGGCCAATCACCAGGAGACGGTGAGTTCTAGTCCCACCCAAGGCATGAAAGCCATCTGGTGACTGTGGGCCAAACACTAGGAGACGATGAGTTCTAGTTCCACTGAGGCATGAAAGCCGGCTGGGTGACTGTGGGCCAAACACTAGGAGACGGTGAGTTCTAGTCCCACCTGAGGCATGAATGCCAGCTGGGTGAAATTGGGCCAATCGCCAGGAGACAGTGAGTTCTAGTCCCACCTGAGACATGAAAGCTGGCTGGGTGAGTTTGGGCTAATTACCAGGAAATTGTGAGTTCTAGTCCCACTTTAGGCATGAAATCCAGTTCTATGACTTTGGGCCAAGAAAGGATGTGTTTTTCCCCCCTGAAAATGTTTAGATTAATTTCCAGAGTTTGATCTGAAAGGGCAAAGCATTTATGTACAGAATGTGGCAAAGGGGTTTCCAGCTAGGATCTATGAATACGGCATCAATCATTATTTACTTTTAGCCAGCATTTTGCTTGCAGTTATGATCTAAGTGAAAGAAATGGATTCAAGAAGGGATATTAATAGAATTTAAAATAGAGCTATCTGAATAATAACAATTCACATCTAAATATGGAGGCAAACTTGACATTTGATGTAGAGGGTTTCAAATGTGAGAGAAGGATCATGCTTTGTCAGAATTCGGTTAGGCTTACTCCCTAGAGATGTTTTTAGGTTTGCAATCCCATGGATTTTTTTTTTAAATCTGAATTTACAGATTTGACTTGGGACCACAGTATTTCCATGTGGGAGAATGGAAAAAGGAAATAGAATATAGGTAGTCCTCAACTTATAACCAATTGTTTGGCGACTGATTTATAATAGTATTGGAAAATGTGACTTAGGATGGGTCCTTGCACCGCTGCAGCATCCCCATAGTCACATGATCATCTCATGGTCACATGATCACCATTTGCAACCTTTCCAGCTGGCTTCCCGCAAGCAAAGTCAATGGAGGAAGCTGGATTCACTTAACAACTGCAGTGATTTCTTTAACAACCATGCCAAAAATTGACATAACATCAGATCTGTCTTACTTAACCATCTTGCTTAGCAATGGAAATTCTGGTCCCAATTCTGGTGCTAAGTCAAGGGCTTCCTGCATGGTTGGGTATCCTGCCGTTTGTTCTCCCGAACATACATATTGTTCTGGCATTCTGAGAAGAAGGCTAGGAAACTGATTTGAAAAAAAATGCTGGGCTAAGGAAATAAGCACTTCCAATAGTGAGGAGTATGGCTACTCTTGAGAAAGAGAGAAATGAGCAGGTGAACCAAGATGGATTTTGGCATTTAAAGGCTTGTCTATTCAACAGTGGCCCAAGGCATCATCATTAAAAGCTTGCCTGTGCCAGCATGGTCTGGGAGAATATTGATAAGAAAATAGACTGCATGGAATCCTATCCAGACAGGGTAGTGATTTTGGCAGCCTATTTGGAGTGGAGTGGAGCTCTTATGACATGGGATCAGGCTCAAGGGAAAAATCTAGGACTGAGTTTCTCAATCTTGGCAACCTAAGGAAGTGTGGGTTTCCTCCTGAAATTTGCTAGCTGGGGAATTATGGGAGTTGAAGTCAGAAGTTGCCAAGGTTGAGAAGCATTAATCCAGGATAATATCTCCCTAGCTTGAGAATTTATCATTCAATTTCCCACTCAAGATACAGCTGTTGATGATAATTTGCTCTGAATGAAGAAAAAAAAACAGCAAGCAATTGATCCCTCTTAGCTGATTCCCTACTTAATCCTAGTTAAAATATTTCATGGAATTTATTATTAGTTATAAAATTCAAATTCAGCACTAAATAGTATTAAGTAGCTACAATCCTTCAAAGTACCTGATGAAGATTCATATCTTTGTCACCTGCTACTTTTATACAAGAACACCAGTCCCTGGACTATAGAGATCTTCTGCTTGCAAGTGTTATTTTATCTCTGAACAATGATTCCCCTCTTCCTTCAGAGCTTTGGTTTCCAGATGCCAGAATAAGAAAAAGGCTAAAACTTGCAGTCTGTCAGACCTGCCAGAATCTAAACCTCTAAATAGAAATGATCCTTGGCTCCGTTTGTTGAGAAGGGTATAGTTTATTAGAAATCAAGTGTATTGCAGTATTGGAAAGCCAGAACTGAGAATTACGTGCCAAAGGAGAGCCGAGGTGGCGCAGTGGTTAGAGTGCAGTACTGCAGGCTACTTCAGCTGACTGCTAGTTTGGCAGTTCGGCTGTTCAA